CTACAGACACTGATGTAGTGCTCTCTGAAGACCACAATGAGGAAGAACAGATCGATCACATAATGTCAAAGTTAGCAGCTTTACAATACCCAACAGATCCAACACACATCCATACATTTAAAATAAAGCGCAATGACAGATACGTTTCAATGTGCTGCAATGTGGGCTCATGTCAGCCTGATATACCTTACCCAAATACTGAGGGGAGATCATTCCAGAAACAGTGGTTTTCTGCTAATGTGTGGCTGGTTTTCCACATATGCAAAAAGTGCCCTTTTTTCCCCCTGGAGCACTTGCCCCCCAAAATGTCTGTGCACGCCACTGCTGATAGTTGTCCTATGGACAGATTCCTCCACCTGAGCTGTAGATCTCTGCAGCTCGTCCAGAGTCACCATGGGCCTCTTGGCTGCATTTCTGATCAGTGCTCTCCTTGTTCGGCCTGTGAGTTTAGGTGGACGGCTTGGTAGGTTGACAGTTGTGCCATACTCCTTCCATTTCTGAATGATTGCTTGAACAGTGCTCCGTGGGATGTTCAAGGCTTGGGAAATCTTTTTGTAGCCTAAGCCTGCTTTAAATTTCTCAATAACTTTATCCCTGACCTGTCTGCTGTGTTCTTTGGACTTCATGGTCTTGTTGCTCCCAATATTCTCTTAGACAACCTCTGAGGCCATCACAGAGCAGCTGTATTTGTATTGACATTAGATTACACACAGGTGCACTCTATTTAGTCATTAGCACTCATCAGGCAATGTCTATGGGCCACTGACTGCACTCAAACCAAAGGGGGCTGAATAAGTACGCACACCCCACTTTGCAGTTATTTATTTGTAAAAAATGTTTGGAATCTTGTAATGTGACAAAATGTGGAAAAGTTCAAGGGGGTCGAATACTTTTGCAAGCCACTCTATGTGCCCATTTTCACGTCACTCTGTGCGCACGTTGTTTACATGAGATGAATTGCAGAATGGCAAAATACTGTTAATGTTAATATTACCATCTTCAGGTTTTACACACTTACATATACACACGCAGTTACTGTCTTTCCATTTAGAAAGGCAGAGGCGGCATGGTGTAATTATTTTACATGTAGTTGTTTTTTTCCCCTGTGTAATCATATTCAACATTGCTATCAATACATTTCTCAAAAATGCCTCTTTGTAGAACCAGACAGAATACTATATTGAATCAGAGCACCCATCATCTGTTGGCACTAAAAGAATTAGAAAACAAGAGCACACATCCCAGCAATAATAGCTGCATGTGGTAAAGTTACAACAAACCCCCATCTATTAATACCACTTTTACATCGTTTTTTGAATATCTGTATAAATCAGAGATCAATCAAGGAGTCTACTTGTAAGAGTTTTCTTGATAGTTTGGAACTACCATAAATCTCACAAGCAGATCAGGACAAGTTAGAGGACCCATTAACTCTAGATGAGCTGCATAGAGCCTCGAAAGGTCTAAATAAAGGCAAATCACCTGGATTAGAAGGCCATCCACCTGAGCCATTTCTAGAACTTTGGGATATGATAGACTCACTTATGCTTGACTCTTTTAATAGAATAGAATAGAATAGAATAGAATAGAATAGAATAGAATAGAATAGAATAGAATAAAATAGAGTAAACTTTTATTATCCCACGAATTAGAAATTTGGATGTAACACAGCTCTTACATCAAGGGGAATATAGAAGGAAGACACAAAGTGGTCCTATATACATAAACAAGTTCGTATATACAGGTAACAATGTACAGGAATAAGCATCAAAAAATTGTACAGAGATTTGTATAAAATGTACAGAAAACAAACAAGCTGATGAGTGAGATAACCACCAAAATGTAAAACAGTGTTAAGCTGTGTTATAGAGTCTGATAGTTGCTGACAAGAATGACCTGTGGTAGTGCTCCTTCCTGCACTGTGGGTGTAAAAGTCTACTGCTGAACGGGCTGCTTGGTGCTCATGCAGGGGTTGGGAGATGTTGCCCATGATGGATGTTAGCTTAGACAACATCCACTCCTCCCCATCCTGCTCCATGCATACATATGCATATACATATCCTGCAGATGGCTATGAAGATCCATGTGCAGTATTCTCACTTGAGTCGGAGAAAGCCTTCGACAGAAAAGGGTTTAGTGCCAGATGTTGAGCAGATTTACAACATTAGGAAATTGCTGCAGTACTTAGTGTGAAACATACTATAAGATAAAACACTTAAATAAAAAATAAATACAGATAAATGTACTTACTTAAAGGATATACATTCTATGTTGTCTAAATTTATTTGGAATGGGAAAAGGCCTAGGGTACATTTGTCAACACTGCAGCGGCACAAATTGCTTGGTGCTTCGGCAGTACTAAATTTTGAATTTCTCTATTGGTCATTCCAAATCAGGACGCTTAGCACATGGGTTAACCCAGAGGCTAGTATTTCATGGAAAATGATTGAATCTGCTAAGGCACACCACATAGGCTACAAAGATCTCTTGTTTTCCAAAATACACAACAAAATCCTCAACAACAACAGCATATTTGGGCCTATTATTGCAAATTTTACACAGGAATTTGAAACTGTAGTGCTCCTTCAGCCCTCAGTGTTAAACTAAAACAACATTTAAAAAAATGCAAATGTAATAGATTCTTTACAGACCCGGGCATGACAGGGGCCCGCCCGCATATCCAGCAGCAGCAGGGATGAGGTGGGTCCGGAGACAGCCCGCGGGCCCCGGTAGTCGTGTAGCAGTTGCGGGTGGCAGCACTGGCCAGGAACCGATCTGAGCTGCCAGCCGCTGCATGTGGCACTCAGTCTGGTCCTGCTCCCTCAACATGGCCACCATTTGGGCCAGCTCATCCCTTGGCTGACCTGTCCACGAATTAATGCTTTTCAGCATTCATTCATTACTCTTGGTTGCTGTCACTTTTCACACAAACACAGAGCTTTAGTTTTCCAGCTCACAGCTGAATACTTCCCCAACAACAACAACAACAACAACAACAACAAAGACAATTCAGACTGTAAGCCACTCAGGTGCATCTGCCTCCCCTGCCGTGGCCCAACTGAGCACATCCCTTCACAACAATATAATACAATCTTATTTTTGTGAGAGATGATCTTAAGTCTGAAGAGGTATTTCACTATCAGCAGGATGCTCATTTGAATCTCGAGACTGTTTTCTGTAGATCAGAAAACCAAAAACACCAGCCACAAGAAGTACAGCACAAATGGACAAACTAACAATCAGTCCACCAGATCCATCCTTTTTCACTGCATCTGTGTTCCCTCGATCCTCTCTGTCTCCTCTTGGCTGACCTGCAGGTGAGAAACAGCTGTCAGGTAGGCGATGAGAGAAAGAAAAAACAGAATCAATTTCTTTTTCATGTGCAGGCATTAATTAAAAAGTAAATTGTGAAAATTTACCTGGTGGTGGAATTTTCTGTGCTTTCAATTAAAAAAGGACATCTGACAAAAACTGTGGCCACAATCACTGTTCTAGGTTATTGAATTCGAGTCATGTTACACTATCATAAATGCCTGAGTCTGTAATCTCAGTGACTAACAGAGAACCTGAGTCTAAATGTGATGAGATGAGTTTGAGGTTGTGAGAAAGTCTCTGACTACTACTGATGTGACGTTCTGTATCGAGGCTTCGAAGCTTGTGTCGAGTAATGGAGGGGGCGTTTCCACGATGCGCGTATCGAGGCTTGCTTCATTTATGGGAGGAGCTGAAAATGATGACGTCCAAAGCCTCGCTTGCCCGACTGTGCCACGTGACCGGTTCATGAAGTGTTTCGAACTTTGCCGTGAGATATGACAGCGATATAAACCCCTCAGACTTCATTCAAAATGTACCATAATTGTCGGGCTATAAGCCACAAGCTTTGAACCCTGCGGCTTTTAGCCAGGTGTGGCTTTTCTATGGATTGTCCCTGATTTTTGTCATATCGTAAGACGATTTGTTTTGTTTGTTCCGCTGTTGTACGGCACTACGTTGCCTGGCGGAAGGGCATGTGATCAGACACACAGTATTGGGGCTCAAGAGTGGTATGTTGGTCACATGTCCATCCGCCAGGCAACATAGTGCCTCAACTCCACCGGTGGAATCTGACAGCGTGGAAAAGTGTGAAAACATCCATCCATCCACCTGAGCCTAAAAGGTAGTCTGAATCTATTTTTCTGGTGTGCTGTAGGTTATTGTTATGTACTACATTTGTTACTCGTTTATGAAACACAGCACATGTTTCGTACTTGTAATTACCGCTACTTGTACATATACCTAAAAAGTTATGCAAATATGTACCCATAACTTGTTTTTCCAAATATTAATAAAAGCGGTGTGTCTCCAAACAGCCATCTCTTTCCTGACAATTCGCTTTGTGCATATTCTCTTACATATGATAAGTCAACATTGAAACACCTGCGGCTTTTAGTCAGGTGTGGCTAATGTATGTACAAAACAGGATTTTCCCCTGATTTTAGCTTGTGCGGCTAATATTCAGGTGCCCTTTG